TTTTCATTCTTTCCATTTGAGTAATAAAAAAAAATAGGAAAAAAGAATTTCACAACTTTATGTAATATAATACACCTTTTTGAACTATGAAATAAATCTTAAGCCCTAGAATAGTAATCTTAAATTATGTTATCTGTTATCTGTTATCATATCAATGATTGAAGGAATGTGCCTATATAAATGATTTAATTAGATTAAATTAGCCAATTTTTTTTTTTTTTTTTTGCAAGATATCTTTTTAATCCTATGGAGAAATGCAAATTTAATTAGATTAAATTAGCCAATTTTTTTTTTTTTTTTTTTGCAAGATATCTTTTTAATCCAATGAAGAAATGCAAATATATGAATATATTTGGGTAAAATTATGAAATTAAATTTGATCACATAAAATATGTTTTACTTATAAAATGGAACATTGTTTACATTTGTTTTTCTTAAAAAATTTATTTCAAAATAAAATTTTTAGTTTTTAGTAATTATAATGGAACAGTTGTTTCGTTTTCCTGAACTTATCAGTATATTATTTGCATTATCATAAATTAATTAATTGAAAATCAAAAATTAAATTAATTGATTAATACTTTTTTGTTCAAATAATGATGCAATTGCTAACTTTCAACATGAACATTTTATATATGATTGTTAGAATGATCAAACGAAAAAAAGAAAAGAAAGAAAAAGACAATTTCAAATGGAATTCCAACCAATTTTTAAGCAAACATTTTGGATGTAAAAATTAAAAATGAAATTTAAAAAAAAAAAGAAATGCAAGTTTTAAATCAAAAAAAAAAAAATCTTTATTAGACTTTACCCTTCAAATTAAATAGCTAATTATAAGATATTATTTGAACGATTATTGCAATGAATAAAACTTTTGGTTATGATATTATGCTGAAAATAAATTTATTTTAAATATATATGTTAGCATACATGAAATGTTACAGTAATATAGATATTATTTATCGAAAACTTGAATAATGATTGAATAGATTTTAGAAAAAAAATTTAAATATTTACTGATCTTACAGGTTTTCCTGAAAGATAAAAAAAAAAAAAAAAGTCTGAAGTGATTATCATTTCAATTACATAAAGCATTTTGTAAATTTCAAAATGAATCTTTACAAGGGTTAAATTTTGTATTTAATAGTATTAAAGTATTAAATTATATTAGATGATATTTTAATAAAATTTGATAATCAATGATAAATGATAGCAAGTAATATATGTATAAATAAAAATAATTTAGCTAATATTTGCTCATCAAATATCAATGATGTAATCAAATATTTCATTGAATTTAATTTAATTCGAATTAAACATTTTATAAATTCCTAAACGATTAAACAATTTTCGATTTTTTTTTCCAATCCATCAAATATTCTATTAATTTTTGATAGCTTTTAGCATAATCTTCTCAATTATATCATTTTTAAAAAGTTATAAAATAAAAATTTCAATTCTAATTCATAACTAATTAATGAAATAGCAATACAATTCAATTGATAAATGGAGCGGGGAAAGGGAAGAGGGGAAAATTTAACTGATAAGTAGCAAATATTATCAAATTAAATGAAATCAAATAGAATTTTAAACAATTTAATGAAATACAAATCAATTATTGTCAGAGAAATGATTTCAAAAGTAGCACTAACAGATGTATTAACAACTGTTTCACATCAAATATCGCAAATATTTTTTCAATCCTTTTTTTTTTCAAAAAAAAATAAATAAAAAAATCAAAATAATTTAAGATAATGCAATTTTTAGAGTTAAGGGAAAAGTTAAATTATTTTAACAAATTTTAAAGTAATTTACAAAAAAAGAAAAAGAAAAACTTTAATTAAATATATTGTCATTGTTTGTGTCATTGTTAAATTTCATTTTAAAAATCAATAAAATACGTAAAAGTAAATAAAAGAATAATATCTATGCATAAGCAATTAGTACGGATGACTTTTTCAAATGTAAACAGATCAAATGATGAAGTTTTAAATGAAGCAATCGATTTGTTTATAAAATTTGTTAGCAAAGATTTTCAAAATGATTGTTGTAAATAGTTGACAAGTATTTATATAAGGGAGAATTTCTCTGCTAAATGAGAGAGAGAGAGAGAGAGATTAGAGAAGGGATGAGAAAAAGTGAGAGAGTGAAATTAAATTGAAACATTAATAATGTTTAATAATTGAGAGAAAAAATTTAATCAGAACTTTTAAATCTTAATCAATTTATGTAATTATCATAATTGCTATATTTTTTATTTCGTTCCTTTTTTTTTTTTTGCATATAAATTTTAAAACTTTTTTCAACACTTTTAAATTTCAATTCTTTCTTTTTTTTTTTTAAATAATAGAAGGGATAATAAAAATTTTGGAATATTTTAATATAGTTTTAGTAAAAAAAAAATTACTGTATATTACGTCTGTTAGAATCGGTACAGAAAGTATAAAAGAATTTTTTTTTTTCGTTCCCTTAAATAAATTAATTATAAATTTTGAAAAACAAACTTCACAGTAGTATATAATGATAATTTATGCTAATAAAAATTTCAATTTCAACTTTACTTTTAGACCAAAAAAAAAAAAGGTCTGGACTTTTCAAAATTCACAATTGATAAAGTTACACTTATATCCTGTATTATTTGAGAAACCTTTTAATTAATCACATTAATTTAAATGTTTAAAAATTGTTGAATAATGCTAAGAATTCTATGAAACATTTTTATGGATAAAACAGAAGCAAATAGTTTACAATAAGAATAATTTCCGGAATAAATGATTTTATAAATTTTGATTGATTTCATGTCATTTATCATTTATATGTACTTATATTTGTAATGAAAATTCAAAACTGAAAACTGGAACTAATTCCATTGCAATATATTTTCCTTTGAAAAGAACATAAAATTTTTCCTTTTTTTTTTGATTTAATAAAATGATTTTTGGTCTATCGGAATGATCTTTGATCTGCCTATATCAATATATATTTTATTTGAGTTGTATTCATAACAGCACAATATTATGATTATTATTGATGAAAATAAAAACGAAAAAAAAAAAGCAATGATAAAAACCATTAAACTAATTCGGATCCAACATTTCACATAACAAATTTTATTAAATAGCCGGGAAAAAAAAAAAAATCGGAAAAATCTAGAATATAACAATAACGAAGTATTATATAAGTTCAATAAAAATATTCACGTGAAACGTACATATTCACGTGAAAACTTACATACATATTCACATGGAAGTTATATACATTAATAATAATTAAATGGTTTGAATTGTGATGTCTACGAAAGATACGTGAAAAAAAAAAACACGGAAGTATTAATAATAATAGAATAGAATAGTGAAGTTATCATGAATGAATAATGATAGAAAGTGAAAAGAATTGTCTAAAAATTGGGTATCTAATCGATGGTACTTTATCGTATGATATTAAATCTATCATCAATTGATATGAAACGAGTAACTAATGGGTTTAGTTTTTTTACCTAAGTAATTAACGGGTAACTTCATGTATGTGAAATAATTTTCAATCAGAATTATTAACATAAGTTGATTTACACTAAACGGATAATAATTTATGCAACTATTACGTGATCATTACATGATTGTCACGTGATTATTACGTGACCAATAGCATATGTAAAAATTTGGAAAATTATATTAAACATATATTTTCATAGATAAACTATATTATGTGAATACGTATAAATTTAAAAGTATGTAAAATTTACGTGTAAAATTTACGCGACCTGAAATTCATACAACAAACAAAAGGTAACGTGACCTCAAAAATTATTTTCTATTAATATAGGATAAATAGAATTAGTAAATATGCTATAAGCAAATATATGAAATTTTCATTAACTTATTCATTGAAATAATTAATTACTTATTTACTAATTTACTAATTACCAAATTATCATTTATTTGCCTAATCAATACATATGTTTGCAGTGAAAGAAAAAAAAAAACCTTTTCACCATAATTAGCATTTACGTTGAAAAGGTTTCCTGTCAACCCCTTTTTACCTCATCCATTTTTATGTGACCGAAGAGGGTCAACCTTTCGTCCTCCATTCGATCCATTTCCGCACATTATTAATGCGCATGAGGAAACCAACCGCTCTGCTACCCCTTTTCTCCTCATCATTGATCGATACGCACACACACACACACACACACACATACACATACACATACACACACATACACACATACACACACATATGCGGACACACCCAAACAGACAGACGGACAGACGGGGAGACACATACACACACACACACACACAGACACACACACACACACACACACATGTACGCATTTGTTAGGAATTAGTTGAATATACCGCAAATTTTCAGTATCCGATAAACCGGTTTTAATACCAATGGAATGAAATTTGGAAGCTAACTGAAAAAAAAAATTTTTAAAAAAAAAAAAGATGGGAAATCGATGGAATTTAAAAGCATTCAATGATTTGCTCATTTCAAATGCTTTATCATTTCATTTATAATACAATTATAAATGTATTATTTTGTTATGAAAATGATAATTTAACAATAACAAATAGATGAAATTATTAGTTATAATTTAGGCTTAGGTAAATTAAATTTTTAATAATTAAATTTTTAATAACTAAATTTTTAATAATTTTTAATAATTAAACTTTTAATAGTTAATAATAATTAAAATTTTTAATAATTCCAGTGAATGTTTCGGTAAATTAAGGATGGAAAGATTAAATTATTACGAATGAATAAATGGAATGATTAATTGATGATTTAAAAATAGATAAAAATCAAGTTTTTAATAATTAAGAACAGGTAAGTGAAATATTTGATGATTAAGAATAAATTAATAAAATTACTATTATATTATTGTTTATTAACATAAATAGATAGGATCATTAATTGTAATCTATGAAGAGGTTAATTAACAATTGAATCGAATATTTGATAATTAATAATAAAGAAATCAAATTTTTAATTGCTTATTGGAATAGATCGATGAAATCATTAATTGTAAGAATGAGAAAGATTAAATTGAGAATAGATAGATTGAATATTTGATGATTGAAAATAGATAGATTAAAATTGTTAATTGTATTAGTTATGATTTAAAAACAGGAAGATTAAATCCTTAATGACTAAAAACAGGTAGACTGAATAAGAACAGGTAGATTAAATTTTTATTTGATAATAAAGAAGAGATAAATTGAATTCGTCATATTTCCAGATTAATTATCAATTATAAATATTAATTTTAAACTTGTTTACTTATGAATTACAAGAAAACAATTTCCGTAATAATTACCATTTTATTGTGGTGATAAAAAAAAAAAGGTATTAAGTTTCATAAATATTTAAAAATTTTTCTTTTCTTACCATAATAATTAAATCTGTTTTCTTTTTGCATCACAAAATATTATTAACGCATTTTGCACTTCACAACTTTAATTAATTTCGCAGGTTAATTAATTAGATGCTATATTTAGCAGCAATAATAAAGTTTGGTGGATTTTATTGTCCAAAAAGTTTGATAAAAATTAATTATTTTAATGAATTTAAACAAATTTTCAACAATCTTTTTATTTTTTTCCTTGCATTTAATTAAATTTTAGCAAATTTTCGAATTTATGATAAAGGAGACAAAGAGGGAGAGGGAGAGAAAGAAAAAGGAAGAAAGTGATAGGAGAAAGAGAGAGAGAGAGAGAGAGAGGAGGAGAGGAGGAGAGTAATTAA